CAATTCACTTTGGCTCCCAACCATTGTATGTAACTTTCCCTTTTAGCTTTATGGAATCTAGTTTGTGTATTCTAAAAATTAATAAGGGTGAGCCTTGGTGGGTCTTGATTTGTATTGCTGTGTATTCAGTGAGCCTCTTCTTTCTGGAGACCCATGTCCTTCAGTTCAGGACTTTTTTTTTTTTTTTAAGATTTTTTATTTATTTACTTGACAGACAGAGATCACAAGTAGGCAGAGAGGCAGGCAGAGAGAGGAGAAGCAGGCTCCCTGCTGAGCAGAGAGCCCGATGAGGGGCTCGATCCCAGGACCCTGGGATCATGACCTGAGCTGAAGGCAGAGGCTTTAACCCACTGAGCCACCCAGGTGCCCCCAGGATTTTTTTTTAAGTTTCTTTATTTGTTTACATTTTTAAGTATTTGTTATACCCAAGGTGGGGCTCAAACTCAGGAACCCAAGATCAAGGGTTGCATGTTCTTTCAACTGAGCCAGCCAGATGCCCCAGGAAATTTCTTAAAATAGTATTTCTTTGATAATTTACTGTCTGCTGTTTTCTTTATTCTCCCAGGAATTCCCATATTGAACCTCCTGTACTGAACTTCTTATTTTATTCTCTCCTGATTTCCATTTCTTTTTTTTGCTTTCTTCTCTGAGATAGTTTCTTGACCTTATCCTACAACAAAACTAAAAACTGTCTCTTCAGTTCTCATACTTTTAAATTTCATGGGTTCTTTCTTGCTCTTTGATCTTCTGCTTTTATAGCATTCTAATTTTATTTTAATGGTACAATCTCTCTGTTTCTTTCTCTCTCTCTCCCTGGATAATAGCATAGAGTTTTATTAATTTTTTTCTGCATCTTGTATTGTTTTGTATTTACTAAATTCCTTCCCCCCCCCATTTGTTTACTTTGGTCACTCTCTTTTTTTTAATTTAAATTCAATCAATTAATATAATGTATTATTTGTTTCTGGGGTACAGGTCTGTGATTCATCAGTCTTATATAATACCCAGTGCTCATTACAACACATACCCTTCCCAATGTCCATCACCCAGTTACCCCATCCCCCAACCCTTCTCCCCAGTCACTCTCTTACTTGATAGTGATTTTCCTCAAATGTCTGATGATTCTTAGTGGCATGTTCTATTTATAAGCAAAAAATATGGGGAGAGCCATTAAGTGGAATGTTTCACTACAGAAGGATTAGGCAGCCTGTCAGTTTTTTCAACAAAGATTTCAAGATAATTGTATCTCTGGAGTGTTCAGTTTTTCCTGAGAAGGCTATTCCTCCAGTCTTCTATCTGGGGGATATGAGCCTTGAAGGCAGTATTGAGGAGCTAGGAGTGGGAAGGCTTTTCTATAATTCCTCTCTCCCATTCCAGGATGGCCCATTTGCTCATAGGCACTTTTACATAAAAATTTTTTGATGCTAAAAAAATTTTTTTTGATGCTATTATAAATAGTACTAATTTTAAACAGTTTAATTGAAATATAATTCGCATACCATATAATTTACCTATTTAAGATGTATAATTCAACGGTTTTTAGTATACTCAGTACATGAGCAACTATCACTACTGTCAATTTTAGCTCATCTTCATCACCTAAAGAAGTCTGTGGGGAAAGGGAATATGGAAATTGTTTAATAGGCATAGTTTCAGTTTTGCAAGATAAAAAGAGCCACTCAGTGATTGGTAATTTGTTCTGGCAGCCCTAGGAAACTAATAAAAATCCTTTGTCCATTTTAAAATTGCTTTTAAAAAAATTTTTGAGCAGTAAGAATTCCTTCTGTATTTTGTTTATGACTCCATTACCAGATATATAATTTGCAAATATTTTCTCCCATTCTGTGAGTTGTCATTTTTTTTTTAGATTTTATTTATTTATTTGAAATAGAGAGAGAGCATAAGCAGAGAGAGGGGCTCTGGGAGAGGGACAAGCGGACTCCCCACTGAGTGGGGAGCCTGATGCTGGCTTCTAGACCAGGACCCCAAGACCATGAACTGAGCTGAAGTCAGATGCTTAAGCAACTTAGCCACCCAGGTGCCCCTATTTCAGCCCTCTTTAGTTGCAAAGAATTGTATGTAGAAATAATGGAGTTTAGTGAATAGAAGGCTGGATTTTATAATCTGGAGAAAAGGTATTAAATTCACTGCTTCTAATTCTTTGTCCAACGTTAGAACTAGAAATTCACCAGCAAAATGAAGAAAAAGCTGAAATCCCTCATAACAAAGACTGGCATAATTAATAAATAGCAACTTTAGTTCATAAAAATATTTCTAAGCTAGCCAGCTCTCAAACCAATAAATAAAATTGTTGTGTAAAATAATGTGTGACTAAGAATCAGGTAGATCATGGAAAAATTCCTGAAGAAAATTTTTTGGGGCACTTGGGCAGCTCAGTTGGTTAAGCATCTGCCTTCGGCTCAGGTCATGCGTCAGGTCCCCTGCTCAGCATGGAGTCTGCTTCTCCCTCTCCCTCTGCACCTCCTTCTGCTCATGCTCTCTCATTCGCTCACTTTCTCTCCCTCAAATAATTTAAAAAAATTTTTTTTAAAGTTTTTATTTATTTATTTGACAGACAGAGATTACAAGTAGGCAGAGAGAGAGGAGGAAGCAGGCTCCCTGCTGAGCAGAGAGCCCGATGCGGGGCTCGATCCCAGGACCCTGAGATCATGACCTGAGCCAAAGGCAGAGGCTTTAACCCACTGAGCCACCCAGGCGCCCCTCTCCCTCAAATAAATAAAATCTTAAAAAAATATTTTGAGTCAAGGGGGAGGTTGCCGAGTGTCTATTATAGAAAGATAAGACAAGTGCATAAGTATGAGTTGTTCAGACAATCAAATGCATAGTAAGAGTATGTGTAGAAAAAAACCTGGTCTTTCTTTTGTGTTTCTCCTCCACTTTCACACTACTACCACACTCACAACACCTCTGACACCAAATGTGTGGGTTTTTATTTTCTTTCCCCCACACCAAACAATTCTGTGATATAAGCTGGGTGTCCTAACAATTAACTCAATCCCAGTACTACCTAGAGATAACACCAGATCCCATAGGTTAAGTCCCACAAGACTCAGTCTGTCGAGACTGCCCCAGACTTCAGATGCCAATTGCAAGTAATAGGTCCAGGTTACCCACAACTTCTGTCTGACATGGCTACAAACTGGAGGTTCCCATGACCTCCTCCTCCTTGGATTCTATTATTTGCTAGAACAGCTCACGGACATCAGGGAAACACTTATTTATGTTTACCAGTTTGTAAAAGGATGTGATAAAGGATACAGATTAACAGCAGATGGAGAAATACAAAGGACAAGGTCTGGGAGGGTCCCACGTGCAGGAGCTAATGTCCTTAAGGAATTGGGGTGATCACCCTCCTTACTATTGGCGTTTTATGGAGGTTTCCTCACATGATCAAGTATTAACTCCATTTCTAATCCTTCTTCCTTCTCTGGAGAATGGGGGAGGTGGGGCTGAAAATTCCTAGCCTCTAATCCTGGCTTAAGTCTTTCTGGTGACCAGCCGCCAACCAGGAGTCTACCCAGAGTCAACTCATTAGAACAAAAGTTGTTCCTAGTGCTCTTACCACTTGGGAATTTACAAGGGTTTCAGTGCCCTGTGTCAGGAACAAGGGGCAGAGACCAATATATTTATTTTTTATTTCAATATTTTTATTTCTACGAAGACATAGAAAATCTGTCAGGAGAGGTTAATAATGGTAAATGCTAACATTTTATTAAGCCATATTCTGGCTAGTATTTAGAACTTTTCATGCAAGAACCTTCATAACAACCTTGTGATGCAGTTACTATTATCCCATTTTACAAATGCGGAAATGGAGAAATGGGAGTGTTAGGTTAACCCAAGATTATATTGTTAATAAATGACAGAGATGAGCTCTGAACACAGGCAGTGTATCTGCCTCTCATGAAGTGATGTTATCATAAATGTCTTTCTATTTTGAAGGTTCTAGGACTTTTTAGGTAGAAAGTTGGAGACATCAATAGAAACATCTTCTATCTCTTCACCTTTGGCTTGGATATCTAAAAGGAACATCTGAAAGAATATAAATGGTCGCAGTTTATGAAACCAGAGTGGAGGCCAGAGGATTGTTACAAACTTTTTGATCCTCCATATATAATTTGGGTTTGGAAGGACAGACCTGCTGATTGATGACTGGTGCAAGACAGAGACCCTTGGGGAGGGGATATCCTACCTTTCTATCTAAGAAGATAAAGCTGTGAAAGGAGAGTGAATATTGGTGTCAATTAGTAATTGATGTCAGTTTCTTTGGGCTATTGCTTTTTATTTCCTATGAACCTTTACTGCAAATACATATAGAAAAGTAAGACATTTAAAACTCCCATAAATTAACTGCTGCCACTCTATTCTGTTTTATATATACTAATTCATTTTATCCTCTCAGCAACCCTATAAGATAGGTACAATTATTATTTTTATTTTACAAATGGGAACATTAAACCACAAATTTATAAAGTTATTATAGTATCTTGCTTACAGTTTTACAGAAAATAAATGGGGGAGTTAAGTGAAGCTGAAAAGAACTACAATAAAGTTGTCAGTAAGTAATAAATGGCTGGTTAAAAATTAGTGCTTTGAGACATTGTGTAGGAGAAAGAGCCCTGGATTTGGATCAGGACTTGGATTCAAGCTCCAACATTTCGTGCTGGGTAAAGACAGGGAACTGGTCATTCTAGGCAATTTCTTTGCATACCTCGTAAGGTTTTTGCCAGGACCTAGAGAAGTGATTATCGTAAAGCGCACTATAATTTTTAAAATATTACACAAATGTGATAAACACGTACTGGCATCGAATTTGAAAATCTGTGGGGTGGAGAGTCAATCCGGAAAGGAAAGTCCTCCTGACTCTCCTCCCGGGAGCCGGCGCAGGGCAATATGGGACTTGTAGTCTTGTTCTGGCTCCGGCCTGACTTTCTCCCTTAGGTGGGGAGGCTGGTGTAAGCCCCGGAAGTACTCGCTACCTGAGAAGCGTGCTGGTTAAGAAGTAGAGTCAGAGGTCGTGGGGCCAGAAGGCGTTCCTGCCGCTGGCCTGGTGGCTATGTAGCGGAGGGGCAAGCGTCCTCCTGCATGTTCTGGAAGGTTCTTGTGCTCAACTAGGGCAGTAGCCCCAAGACTTGTAGTCGCCGGCTTCGGGTCCCTGGCGGCTGAGCGGAGTCGCCGCCATGTTTGGCTGCTTGGTGGCTGGGAGGCTGGTGAGGATGGGGCCGGGTGGTATCAGAAAAGGGGCAGGACGCCCGAGGGCGAGGCCCCGGGAAGGGGAAGGTGCTCGGGTGCAGGAGAGGTGGGGGAACCCCCCCCAACGTGTACTTTCCAGCTAAATGTGAGGGTGGAGAGTGGGTGCTGGGGTAATCTCTCGGCTCTTTTCAGTCATTTGAATAGTAGCCACATTAGCTACTCTTTATCGAGTGTGCATTATCTATATACGCAGGCGGTGCTCGCCTTTTGTCCGTTTCTGATAGTTTGAGCCTTCTAGGTAGCGCTTATTTAGCAACTCAGATTTAACCTTACTCGTGAGATGGTTATTATAATTCTTATTTTGTAGTTGAGGAATTTAAGCTTAATCGTCAGTTTAAATACTTGCCTGAGCTAGCTCAAGCAGTAACTTAAGAGGTAAACCTGGCATTTGAATCTCGTGTGTAACGTACTGTTTCTAAAAGGTTAAGGTGCTGGGGCAGTTGTATACATTCGGGGTCCTTTTGGAAGGACCCCAGTAAAAAATATGCTTAAAGTAATCGGAAGTTGGCTGATAGAAACGCCTAAACTTAAGTGTGAGTCATGGCCGAGATACCCCAGAAGGGTATGAGCTGCGAAAATCTTTGTTGGTCAGAAGAGATAATAATCAGCCTTGCCAGATTATTGGAGTTAAATGGGATCAGCACCTGGAATTGTTTAGAAATGATTTAGAGGATGATTCTTGCTTGCCTCTTTAGAAACCATCCAGAAATCCCTTTTAAACTTAACTCCTTTCACCCAGAGTTCGTTTTCTTTCTTTTTGCTCCCTGCTTTGTTAAATTTTGCAGCCCATTTGTTGAATTAAATTTTTCATCAACTTCTGGTAATGTATTCTGTACACAGTTTTAAGAAACCAGAAAGATAAATTGGAGACTACTAGCCTCAGATTCTGTTTGTCTCTTGAATGACTGGGAGACCGCTTTGGTGATGGTGGTAATTGGTAATTGATAATATTGGTGAGATAACTTTGGATTGCTCCTGCTGTTAGCAGGGAAAATGAAAAGACCAGCCAGGGATAAGTGTGGTACTCAAATGAGTGAGTGTCATCAATGAATGACATTTAAAATTTGTGTGTGTGTGTGTGTGTGTGTGTGTGTGTGTGTGTGTTTTATTTTACTTTATTTATTTATTTTTAAGTAATCTCTGTGCCCAACGTGGGTATTGAGCTCACGACCCCAAGATCAGGAGTCTTGTATTTTACAACTGAGCCAGCCAGGTGCCCCTGTGTGCGTTTTTTTAAAGAAAAGGCCACATGGATTCCATGTATCCCATGTTGTTAACTAATTTGGAAGAAAATTTAATTACAGCAATACCTGTGGCTACTTACCTAACACCTAACCTCTGTGATAGATAGCCAGTAGAGGTTCTTTAAAGATAAGACTTTTAGGAGGTGTCTGGACTCTTTTAATCAGAGAACATGTTCAAAATGAAGGGCAGATAGACCTGGAGATATCCAAAACTTAACTTCCTTATTCTCTAACTAGAAAAGTCCAGTCATCTAATGTTATGAGTTTAATTCCTCAGTTTAATTCCTTGAAAATTTTTTCTTAAATAAAAGTTATCTTTTTCCCTAAGGTTAAGTATTAGTGTGTCATAATACAGATATATAGAATGTCTGGTGCTTGGTAGACTTGACATTTAACTGATATTTATTTTGCCTAATGGTTATTTCATGGCTTGTAAATACCATCATTTTATGTGTTTTTAGGATTATGTGCATGCCCAAAACTGGTGAAACTGAATTTAATACTAATATAGGCAGTTTGGTTTTACATTTATGTTTTTCTTTTGTTTTATTCTCTATTTAAAGTGGACAGTTTTGTGGTTTTTTTTTTTTAAGATTTTATTTATTTATTTGACAGATCACAAGTAGGCAGAGAGGCAGGCAGAGAGAGAGGAGAAAGTAAGCTCTCCGAAAAGCAGAGAGCCCGATGTGGCTGGATCCCAGGACTCTGGGATCATGATCTGAGCCGAAGGCAGAGGCTTTAACCCTCTGAGCCACCCAAGCGCCCCATAAAGTGGACAGTTTTTAATGAGGTTGGAAAACTTCAGAAGAGAGAAGCAGAACTTGATTTTAAGAACATTCATTCTTGGTCTCTTGGGAATAAATTTAGGACAATTCATATTTATTGATAATACATAGCTATAAATTCTTTAAGTTTCTTTGTAGTAATAGCTACGGTATTATAAAAGAAAAAAGTAAGCATTTTAGTAACAACAACTATTAGCGAAGGAAAAGAAATTGCATTCTAGGTAATAAGATTTGACCATTTAGAGCCTTAAAATACTGGTAGAAATTCAGATTTGGTGTTTTGGTGAATGGAGTGGCAATAGCAATTAAAAAGAAAACCAGAAAACTGTGTGATGTAAACTCTTGACAGCCTTTTGACCTGAGTGCCCTCAGAAGTAATACTTCATTTTTGCTAATGGATGTGATACAGCAATAATCAGTAATTTTCTGAGAGTGGAATAAAGAATTTTCTCTTTGGAAGTAGATTTCTCAAACTTCTCAAACTTCAAAATAAGATAAGATCTTAATCTAGAAACTGACATTCAATTCTAGAACAGAAAATTAGATTATGAAATGAGTCAAGAGGAAACTTTCACAGGTTCCCACTTAGCACATTCAAAGTAGGATTTTTGCTTCTTATATACAGTTGATTCTCGTTATTCATAGTAGTTTGGTTCTGTGAAGTCAGTGTGAATAATCAGTTCCTCAGTTAGTAAATACTGAATCATTGCTCTTAGGGGAAATACAGAGTTAGGTTTTTTTCAAGCCTCTGATGACAGTTTTTATTAGCCTGTCAGTACACAACCTTGTTTTCTGTATGTTTCTGTTTAAGTACATCTTATTTAATATGTTTTGTTGATTCATTAACATTGAACTTAACAGCCAATAACATCATAACTCATTTCTTTTTTTTTTTTTTTTAAAGATTTTATTTATTTATTTGTCAGAGAGAGAGGGGGAGAGAGCGAGCACAGGCAGACAGAATGGCAGGCAGAGGCAGAGGGAGAAGCAGGGTCCCTGACGAGCAAGGAGCCCGATGTGGGACTTGATCCCAGGACCCTGGGATCATGACCTGAGCCGAAGGCAGCTGCTTAGCCAACTGAGCCACCCAGGCGTCCCCATAACTCATTTCTGAATGAGACTTACATATTTTCTCAGTAAGGCACATAACAACCGTTTCAGAATTAGGACTACTAGCCAGCATTTCAGCTTGGCCATTTTAAACATCGGAATCACCAACAAAAAGCACAAAATACAACCAAACATGACACTAAATTGACTGCAGAAAAACACATTTGTTTACACTATGAGAGCCGAAAGAAAGAAGGCACAGCTAACTTTTCTCCATCTCAGCTGGGAACATGTACATTAGGCAACCTAAAATTTTTGCTGCTCTGCACGTGAACATGCCCATGAACGACTACCAAAGTGCAATGAATATTGATTTTGTGCATACAAATAAATTTTAGTGAGTAGGCAGATTAAATAGGGAATCTGCAAATGAGGATTAATTAATTCTTTCTGTATTGCCTACCCATTTTAATTTCTTGTACTTCGCATACTAGAGGATAAAGCTTTGGTGGTGTGGTATTTTGAACAACCTTTAATTTCTTTAATATTCTGAAGCCATAGTGATTTACTTATGTAAGTAAATTCTTTTCAGGGCACTTCTGAAATAATTTAGTTCTTTTTTTAAAGATTACATTCATTAAATGATTATTTTAAGGCTGAAAAAAAAATATATATATATTTGGATTTTCTTTTTTAAATTTAACACTGAAATATTTGGAAATTCCGTATAGACTATCAGATTAACCCAAAGTTATCCTGGGTTTAATCATTATAATTGACTATAATATATATAATTGACTTGATAACAGTTTACAGAAATACTATAAGGGTTGTAGAAACTCCTCAAACTATTAAACTAAGACACGTCTCTTATTTTCTAGGTGCAAACAGCTGCACAGCAAGTGGCAGAGGATAAATTTGTTTTTGACTTGCCTGATTATGAAAGTATCAACCATGTTGTGGTTTTTATGCTGGGAACAATCCCATTTCCTGAGGGAATGGGAGGATCTGTCTACTTTTCCTATCCTGATTCAAACGGAATGCCTGTATGGCAACTCCTAGGATTTGTCACAAATGGGAAACCAAGTGCCATCTTCAAAATTTCAGGTCTTAAATCTGGTAAGAAATAATATTAAAATGGTTACATAATTAAGCTCTTTTCTTAATAGCATACATAGGATGTAGCTCTTTTTATTTTTTAAACTTTTCATTGTTTTACTGGTTTCTAAAGTGATACATTATTTAAAAAAAAGTTCAGATGGTAAACTGATATAAACTGATAGACCTGAAAAGTAATAAGCAAAAGACCTCCTTGGCTCCTCACATTTCCACCCTCTGTCCCTGGAAAGAGCCATTTACTTTAGGGATTTTGTATACTTTTGTAAAGGGATTTTATTATGTGTTTTAACAAATAATAACAAGGAATCTTCTCAGAATTTGTAATATGCACATCTGTGTATTAGATAATCATATAAAGCAAGTAGACTTGTATAGGAATTAAAATGAGAGCCCCCTTTTTTTTTTTAAATGAAGGTTTTTGAACAGATTTGATTACCCCTCCAGTGTTTTTGAACTCTTAGATTTGATTATCCCTCTGCTGTTTTTCTCTTGGTTGTATTGACAGTGCAGGCTTCAGACCTATAGGGGCATAATCCTTGCTTTGATACTTTGAAGTGTTTTGTGGAGAAATGTGAGACAAAACTAGATAGATGGCCATTTACTGCCATTGAATCTCTGGTTCCCTTGAAAATCTACGTGAAAACAGACAGGATACTGTATCTACTATGAGGATTTAAAGATAAAGATTAAGTTCTTGCTGGAGATAACTGATGCTGATAAAGGAAGATAGTTTTGTAGACCACTAATTCGAAGGGTGAAAGGTCATAGTGGATGTTTGTACAAGATGCTGAGAGAGAATAGAAAGGGGAGCAACTAACTCAAGTGGGTTGAGGTTTCCTGGAGGAGGTGATATTGGACCTCTTGGGAAGAGAAGTTAATTAGCCCCGTGAAGAGGCCTATTGGGCATTCTTTTCTAGGTGGAGGTGGTATGTGTACCGTGAAGAAATTTTGAAAGCATGGCCTGCATAGGATGGTGTAAGGGTGGGTTAGGCAGGCATGGATCAGGAAGAGCTTTATGTGCCATACCAATCATTTGAATTTAAGTTAGTGATTTTTAATGTACTTATCTGAGTGATTTCACAGACTTATTAGATGGTATTTTAAAAAAATAAGTGTAACAATGTAAATACTCAAAAGTTTGCATGTCCTCTAAAGCCCATCCATGTATCCTTCCTCATAAAGAACTGCTCGTATGGGTGTAGAGGAGCCACTAAACAACAGTTTTGGATAGCGGAGGTGATATGAACAAGTTTTGATTTTAGCCTCAGAGCTGTGTGAAGAATGAACTGAAGCAGTTCCGGCTGGATGATGGACTGTTAAGCTTTGTTATGTTATGTAGTTGGAATTCTAGAAGAAGAAACAGGAGAGAGCAGTATTTAAAGCTAAATTCTGTTTCAACTTGATGAGAAATACTAATCTCTAGATTTAAGAAGCAGGACAAATCCCTGTGGTCCTTATCAGCATGGGATTCCATGAGGTAATTATCACTAATCCCTGAGAGAGTGTTTCTTTTTTTTTTTTTTTTTTTTTTTTTTAAAGATTTAATTTATTTATTTGAGAGAGAAAAAGAGGAAGAGAGAGCAAGCACAACTGGAGATAGAGCAGGGGGAGAGGGAGAAGACTCCCCACTGAGCAGGGAGCCTGACTCTGGGCTTGATCCTAGGACCCACATCATGACTTGAGCCGGATCATGACCTGATCGGAGGGCAGACACAACCAGCTGAGCCACCCAGGTGCCCCACAACAGTGATTCTTAAAGCGACCACCAGAATTAGCATTAGCATCCCCTGGGAACTTGTTAGAAATGCAGATTCATGGCAAGACGCCAGACCTACTGAATCAGAAACTGTCGGTGGAGTCCAGTTCCCCAGGTGTTTTGCGTGCTCAAGTTTGAGAACCACTACCCTAGGGCATCCACTGCATGTAATGAATTAATGTCTCACACATTTAGTATGGAGTTAGTTTTGAATAATCTTTGGGAGAATTAGGAAAATAGTCATTCTCAGATCATGTTTTCTCTTTTATGTGACTGTGCCTAAAAATAAAAAAATAAGCAATCAATCTATAAGTAGAAGGAATATAAATGGACAATTCAATACATTCTAGTGAAAAGAGAGTAATAAAGGAGCCAGAGAGAAAGACAACTCAATTATAACTTGATGGCAGTTATATCATGAGGATGAATAGAGGTCAAAACCAATAGATTAATATCTTCAAGGAAAAATAAAAGGTGATGGAGAAATAAATATCTTTTGCAGATGGAGATGGGAAGTTTACTGCTCATAGACCATTACTGAAAGAACTACTGATGGTAGTTATACTTTGTAAAAGGAAATTGAACCAAGGATATAGAAGAGCATGCAAGATGCAAAGTTAAAGAATTGGTAAACATGGGACACCTGGGTGGCTCAGTTGATGAAGCGTCTGCCTTTGGCTCAGGTCATGATTTCAGGGTTCTGGGATTGAGCTCCTCCTTGAGGGGAGCCTGCTTCTTCCTCTCCACCTTCTTGTGCTCTCTCTCTCTCAAAAAAAGAAAAAAAAAAAAAAAGTCAACATGTATCCTAATCTGGCTACCTGCTTTATAAAGAAACACAACAAATAAATGCACACAATAAATAACTTAAATGCACAAGAATTAAATATTGTACTAGAAAATAATGCATAATTCAGGAATGGTACTGATCAGAGTTAAAGCTTTCTGAGGTCTTAGTATTTAGAAAGAGAATAGTGATACTGATTCTACTTTCAGGTAATCTTAAAAGTTTAAGGAAGAGTTAAAAAAAAAAAAGGAAAAGTAAAGTCATAGTATATAGGCATAGTATATTAAAAATAAAATAAAATGGTGAAAGTAACTTCAACTATATCAGTTATCAGGAGAAATGTAAACAGAATACACTTGGCAGAGAAAACTCCAGGATAGGATTTCTTTAAAAGGGAGCAAATGAATAATTACATTGTTGCTTATGAGTAAGGGTCTAAAACATTTTAACATAAGCAACCAAAAAATAGCTGTTATAGGTATATTAGTTTTAAGAAAATTTAGACTAAGACAAAAACATTAACAGGGATTGAGAAATTCATTCAGATAATCCATTGGGAAAACAAGTATTTCTGGGAAAAGATAAGTCATGACTTTGTGTGTATATATAACTTCAACATATATTTAAAATTGACATTTAGAATGACAAATGCTATTAATATTTTATTTACCTCTTGGTAATACACTTAAGTAAATATTAGTAAAATGGAATTTGGATAAAAGAGTTAACAAGTTTGAGCCAATGGACATTTAGAGAACCTGCACCTAATTATTAGATCATACACATTTTTTAAACATTTATTTTTTAAGATTTTTATTTATTTGACAGCGAGAGAGAGACAGCATACAAGCAGGGGAAGCAGCAGGCAGAGGGAGAAGCAAGGAACTGCTGAGCAGGGAACCTGATGCAGGACCCGATCCAGGACCCTGGGATCATGATCTGAGCTGAAGACAGACACTCAACCAACTGAGCCACCCGGGCGCCCTAGATCATATACATTTTTTTTTTAAGATTTTTTATTTGTTTATTTGACAGAGATCACAAGTGGGCAGAGAGGCAGGCAGAGAGAGGAGGGAAGCAGGCTCCCCATTCAGCGGAGAACCTGATGCAGGGCTCGATCCCAGGACCTGGAATCATGACCTGAGCCAAAGGCAGAGGCTTTAAGCCACTGAGCCACCCAGGCGCCCCAATCATACATTTTTAAGTACACAGAACATTTATGAAATTTGACCACATACCAAGTCATGAAGCAAGTTGCAGTAAATGGCAAATAATCAGTATGCAGCCTATGGTGCTGTGTAATTAAAAGTCAAAAGATAAAATGTTATTGTGTGTAGGAATCCTCCCTTCATCGTGTAGCTGTCAGGCCCAGATGGTTTAACAAAGTTCACCTAAACTTCTATGAAACAAATTGTTCATATCTTATCTAAACTTATAGAGAGTAGAAGACGGTTACCCAGATTATATTTCTAAACTAATACACTCTTCATATCAGAAAGGACAAGGACAATATAAGAGAAGAAAGTTGACCCATGCCAATTTTATTTATTTAGGATTTTTATATTGATGTACATAAAATAGTTACAAAGTAAATAAAACAAGGTATCTTATTTTTTATTACTTTTCATTATACAAAATTCAAGTATATACAAAAGCAGACCAAATGGAATATTGAACCGTTCTCTACTCATCACTCAAAATGACCAACTCATGGATAGTGCAATTTTTTAAAAACATTTTATTTCTCTCAATTTTATTTATTTATTACTTTTTAAAAGATTTTATTAGGGAGAGAGAGAGAGAAAGTACATTGGGGAGGGGCAGAGGGAGAGGAAGAAGCAGAGAGCCCAATGTGGGACTCCATCCCAGGACTCTGAGATTATGACCTGAGCCAAAGGCAGAGGCTTAATTGACTGAGCTGCCCAGGCTCCCCTATTTATTTATTTTAGAGAGAGCGAGCATATGCACAAGCAGGGGAGGGGCAGAGGGAGAGAGAATCCCAAGAAACTTTGAGCTATTGTGGAGCCCAAGGCAGGGCTCACGACCCTGAGATCATGACCTGAGCATGCCAGTTGTACTTCTTTTATATTCCTATTCACTTCTCCCTTCTTGTTTTATTTGGAAACAGATTCCAGAATCATAACATGTAATTCATAAATACATTAGTGTCTTTAAAAGACAAAACCTTTTTTTTAAAAGATGTTATTTATTTAACAGACAGAGATCACAAGTAGGCAGAGAGACAGGCAGAGAGAGAGGAGGAAGGAGGCTCCCTGCTGAGCAGAGAGCCCGATGGGGACTCTGAGATTATGACCTGAGCTGAAGACAGAGGCTTTAACCTACTGAGCCACCCAGGCACCCCTCTCTGCTTTTCAAAATGTAACTATAATGTTGTTATCACATCAAAAAGCAAACAATAATTCCTTAGTAGGGAATTGAATGTCTAATTAGTGTTCAGAT